CCTGTAAAATTAATCCAATCATTTTTAACTTTTTTTAAGGAGTTTTTTTTCACCCCTCAATTATCATGTTTCTCAATGGACTTCTAATTCAGAAACCATGAATTGCATTTTGTAAAGATTCGGCCTACCTCGTCTAAAACTCGCATGCAAATTTATTTTAACTTGCTTTGATGGGACCCCGACGAGTCTTTGATAAAAATTATCTATCTACTTATCTATCTATCTACTGTTTGTCAGAATCACTCACCCCTCACTCAGTAACACAAGCTAATGCAGCACTAATCGGGAGAACTGTCCAGATACAAGAGGTTCATATCGTAAGATAGAAAATATGAGTGTAGGGAATGTACGATCTCAACAAAAATGATGGATACCGGGTGGTCAAAAGGGTTGTTGGATACTTCAATATCGTATGTCAGGGGAGAACCAATATCCACTGAAGCCGGCTTCTCAGGCACGTTTTGAACGTCGTTTTGGTCTGCAGGGCAAAGATGAAAAAGACAGGCCAGAAACTCAACACTGCAAATCGTCTGCTTCTTCTTCTTCTCGAATTCCCACCAAACACGCCGTTGTCCACTAATACATCTCGACCAGAAGTAGAGGAAGTGAAAAAGGCCGTAATATTGCACGCAAAATTTGAATGCATCAAGTAGGAATTTTAAAAACTTATAAAATGCATACGCGTAAGTACGAGAAAATGGATTGAACACCCTTTAACGCCCTAAGGAACACGAAAGCAGTCACAAATAAGATAAGTTACACAGAATTAAGTAGGACTCTGACATGTACAAGTACATCAAACTTTTCTGTCGGCGTGTACATAAGGATACAAACTCATAGAGGCGTGGTACATTTGTCAGCCTTCACTTAATTCGGGAGTCTCGAATCGGAAACGGAATCAACACATTTTAAGAGGATAGTATGCGGGGATTGGAATTACTTACCGAGAAATATGCACCAGATAAAGACAAAAACTCGGTTTAAGCGGTCATATTGCTTTTACCTGCGTGTGCTCTCTCCTATCCAACCAACAACCAAAAATCAAGACGCGCAGAAATATTTGGAAGGGTGACTTTAACGCAATGAGACGCACTCTTTAAGAGGAAACTTGGTTAGTCAACAAAGACGATTCAGACGAATTTTGGCAGTACTTTCGCGGGATTATAGAGCGTCTGATTGATTCTCATTGTCCAATAAAAATGACAAGACCATGTTCGTGACCGCCGGGGGTCAATCCGACGACAAAAAAGACCATGAAGAAGAAACAGAGACTCTGGAAAAAGTGCTTGCAACTTCCAGATCCAAGGTCACTCGCCGAATATAAGGATCAGCGCAATAAATGCCGCAATTAAATACCGGTTGCTAGAACTTCTTTCGAGCGTCGACTGATAGCAGAATCCATTACATGTCGCAAGAAGTTTTACGGGTACATCCGCAGTAGGAGGAAACATTGGGACAAAATTGCGTGTCTAAAGGATAGCCTCGGAAACTTATTAGTTGAAGGGCCACAGAAAGTGCGATTACTGTCCCAGTTTTTTCAATCGGTTTTTACGGAAGAGTCCCTAGAAGACAATCAGCAGTTTGAAATGGACCGAGACAGCCGGGAGCTTCAAATGCGCCAAGATATTGCTGTCACTGAAACCGTCGCCTTGTCCATCGAAGAAGTTAGACGCGTCCTCAGTCAAATAAAACCTGATAAGTCTCCTGGACCCGACGGAATTCCCGGACTAATACTTGAGGAGCTATCAACGGAGTCGTCAAAGCCTCTTTCGACTCTTTTTGAGCTGTCAACGGGAACAGGAAGGCTGCCCTCACGGTGGAAGACAGCTAATCTCGTTCCATTGCATAAAGGAGGTAGCAGGATGACAGCAAGCAGCTTTAGGCGTATTAGCTCCACTTGCCTCCGTTGCAAAACGATGGAAGCTATAGTAAAGAGCGCTATACAGCAATTTTATGCAGAAAATAACATCTTGCAGGATTTTCAACATGGCTTCCGGAGAGGACGTTCCTGCCTCTAGCTGGTCTGGAGATCTGGACCAGGGCGCTAGAAGAGGGTTTTGAGGTCGATGTCGTATACATCGATTTCCGCAAGGCTTTTGACACTGTCTCGCATCAACGTCTTCTTCGAAAATTGAGCGCCATCGGCATCCGGGGAGATCTTCTGAACTGGATGAGGGCGTTTCTGGTTGGTCGGAAACAACGTGTCTGTGTCGGGGATGATATGTCATAATGGGTGAATGCGACCAGTGGTGTGCCATAAGGCTCAGTTCTGGGACCATTGCTCTTCATCCTTTACGTTAACGACAGCCTTCAGGAAATCGACTGCGGCAAAATGATGTTTGCAGACGACGTTAAGCTCTGGCAAGTCATTAAGGGCCCGGATGATCAGAGATCCCTTCAAGATAATCTGCACCGACTGCAAGCGTGGTCGAAGAAATGGCTTCTAGATTTCAATGTGGAAAAGTGTGCCGTCCTTCATCTGCGTCCAACCAACTCTCATTCAAATGAGAGTCTGAGGACTTATCACCTGAAAGATATATGGCTCCCCGCAGAATCTTCACAGAAGGATCTGGCGGTTTGGATACAGAACAACCTGAAACCAACACTGCAGTGCCACAAGGCGACAAAAAACGCCATTGGCGGGCTGCATACAATCAAAAGTGTTTTCGTTAACTTTGACCAAGACCTTTTTGGGAGGGTTTACGGCACATTTGTTCGGCCCCACTTAGAATATGGCATACAAGCATGGCGACCGTGGCTAGTAAAGGACCAAGCATGCCTCGAACGAGTACAACGGCGTGCAACAAAGCTGGTAAACGGTCTAAAATGCCAATCTTACACAGACAGACTGAATTAACTTAATTTATTCCCTCTGTGTTACAGGCAGCAAAGAGGTGATCTTATCCTAGTCTACAAGATAATACATGGCCTTGAGCATGGACTTAACTTTAAGGACATGTTTTAATGGCACCTTTCACCCAATCTTCGTGGTCACTCGATGAAGTTACGGGCAACAATGTCAAGACTGAATCTTTGTTCTGAATTTTTCACGCAGAGGGTAGTGTAGAAATGGAACGATCTCCCTCAGTCAGTCGTGGAGGCTACGTCCCTGCAACTATTCAAAAAACGCTTGGATGATTATTTGTGTCCCCTGTTTTCCCTCGACAGTCTGAACCTGAATTAATACCACCGGTCCAGACAAATATTTTCTCTGAGGCAATGCTACTCCAATGAACCAAGTACTGTTTTTATAGTGAACATTTTTTGTTCGTGTACAGTTATTTCTAACGGGATGAAATGTTATCAATAGGGTTTTCAAAGGCTTTGCCTATTATCCTTACCAAATAAACTGAAAATAAAAACTGAGAAGAAAGTTTATCAAGCCTAGAACAGCATCGACAAATAGTCAATTTATTATGAACCCACGGGCCAAAAGCAGCAGGGCAGAAATATTAATGCGTGGACTGTAAATACAAACGTGACTCGTACATTCCATATGTAGTAAAGTATTTTTGGGTTAAAAAACATAATTCTCATATTTTTTCACCTCACGACTTTAGCAAACATATCTCCTCAGAGAGCATTGTCCAATAAATAGCGGCATTGAACGAATCGAAGCCTCCATGATCAGGCGGGATTTCCCCAAGCTTCAGACGGAGTTTGCCAGTGAGCTTTCTGTGCCTTTGTCGACGATTTTTCAAACGTCATTTGACACTGAGATACTCCCTATCGATTGGAGGCTGCCACATATTAATCCGCTGCACAAAAAGGTAACAGATCACCGACGACAAATTATAGGCCCATGAGCTTGACATGAATTCCCCGCAAACTTATGGAGAGGATCATAAAGGGAGAATTGATGCAATTCTTGGAAGTTCACGACTTGCTATCGAACTGCCAACACGTGTTCCGAAAAGGAATGTCATGCACGACAAATTTGCTGCAATCTCTCTAGAGCTGGACGCCAGCTTTTGATGAAAGGCACGCGGTCCACATAGCTTCTGTTGACATCCGGAATGCGTTCGACGCTGGGCCACACCAAAGCCTGTTACGCAAGCTGGGAAAAATAGGGAAAAGAGGAAACTTCCTCAAATGCATCGACAACTTCATTGTAAGTCGGCACCAGCTTGTGCGCATCAGTCAAGGTAAATCAGATCAGGGATGCTCATCCCGCACATCTTGTGATGTCACCATCGATAGAAAGCTTTAAGAAGAACTTTAACAAGGAGATCAGGGACCGGCTTCGATCCCTGGGACTTATTCCTAACTTGTCATTATACTATGAGCCAATCTGAAGTAGTTCAATGCACATGTTTTCTCTGTACACCAATCCCAAGTTTATGTTTCAAATAGGTTACTCAAAGCTGAAGTAAACTAAAATACAGGAGGATCCTGAGTTTAACAAAGAAACTTTGGACCACGTAATCTTGAACACTGATCATAAATGTTTATTCTCGTTTTTCCTTCCTCTGGCACTTAATTAACGAAAGTTTACTGAGCGTTCTGTTCTCTACTTAGTATAATATCTCGCACACCCCTGCAGAAGTGAACCGTATCTGTTGACAGTCTGTGGACTTGCTCCTAATCGTGGAGATACGAAGAATTTTACCTGTGATCTAGGAGTAATCTAAGGGCAAAGTATGCTTTGTTTTACGAAACCGTTAAACCAACGGTTAGTACGGATTATTACTAGTTTTGGTCGCCCCCGAGCGATAGCGTGGTTTTTCGGACCAACCGTGTTTAGTATGTAAGGAGATACACGCGGCGTACCTTCAGTCCTAAGCGCATATATGGATCGTACCACGCTTTTTTATTTGAGGAGTGGAAACGAGCAATTGGACCCCCAAACTAAAACTGAAAAAGATCAGTCTCGCACTGAGCGGCTCGTTCGCAAAGCCTACCATGAGAAACTCGAAAAATGGGGAGAAAGCTCTTTGCGCCTCTTCAAGTTAGAACACATTCGTTATCTTATGAAAAGAATGGTGGATTTGCCCACGAGCATGGAACATTTGGATGCTAGTCAAACATGGTTGGCCTACTGGATGGTTCATGCCCTCCGACTGCTCAATTTCCGAATATCTGACGCTCGAAAGCGCGACATAATTTCACTTTTAAAGAGCTGTCAGGTTGGTTTCCCCCTGTATTAAATTTTTCCATTATTTGTTTCCCAAACTTTCGGAAACAAACAGGCTCTCTGACAATCTATCTATTCAGTAATTACATTAATCATACACGTTGATCCTACACGAGGCAACCAGTTAAGACACATTTAAAAAGTTAGCAAAGAAACTAATACATGACCGAAAGACATTGAAACCGCCAGGTAAAGTCGGGTAGGCCAATTCTGGCTCTAGTCAACCGATCAATACGTGAAATTTGCAAGAATAGAATCACTGCTGTTGATCCTCTCCTTACCAAATAGGCTAGATAACATGAATTAGTAATCGGAAATGGCTCCTTAAGGCGCTCCAAGTTTATCGTAAACCTATAAGCTTGGTTTTAAAATCGATACGGTATTAAATTTTTTAAATTACTTGAAGAAATTTGGTAGGGGTTCTAATCTCGGTACCTAGTTTTGGTGTCTAAAAACAGAAAAAGACACGCCTTCGATTTAGGACTTAAAAGTGCTGCACCTTTTCGAGGAACAATGATTAGCTACCGTCGTAGTTCGTACGTATCTACCAAAATTCATGATGGCAAATAGAAGTCTTGGCGGTTTGTATCTTCCCGATCATCTTCAACGTTATTACACATAGTTGTCTTTGCATATAAGGCTATGATTTGTTTTTTATCTTACTCTAGTGTCGTTTCTTTGCACTACTCCTGTTGAAAATATAAGACGCACGCCACTACCGACCTTTCCTCTTGAACCCAAAATATAACATGCAAGACGCCTCTGTTACACAAAACGTCGACAACCCGTCACTTTCTAGGCCTTGAGCGCAGAAATCCGGTCTTGTTTTACGACCCGAGTAGACGGAAAAGGCGGTAGCCAATGGTCATCATTGTAGTCACTAGTTTATAGGGCGCCTGAAAAGACTGCTTAATTCACCCAGCGGCACCGCAGTGACTGGACCAGCAGACGTATCCTGTAGTTGTTTGTCCAGGCGACTCGGACCAGGTCTCACGATGATGACTTCTTCCGCAAGCTCCAGAAAATGAGGACAAAGTCGGTTAGCAATGGTTAGCAGAAATATAGGCTGAAACTGCGACCTCTATGGAGCAGGCCTCAAACGTTAGGAACACTCGGAAGCTCTGGCAAATTATCCGGTAGGCTAGTGAGAGGCCCTCGACACTTAGTGACTCTGCTCAGGATATTAAAGGCGGCATCATCGCTGACAACTTGGTCAAGGTGGACCTCTTCCGTGAGCACTTCGAGCACCTTCTGAACTTCGGTGAGCAACCCATCACACTCTCTCTCCTTCGCAGCGGAGTTTTATACCTCCTGTCTATGTCGTGTCATGCGACCCCCCTCAGAAGGGGAATCGTCGGTGTAATACAGAGACTGCACAACAAGGCATCCCGAAAGGACGATATTCCCGCTGACATCGGCAAGTCCTGTGTGGAACACTGATGCTCTGGCTTCACGAGGTATTTATTGAAGCGTTGGAAGACGAGATCGTTCCTGATGACTGGGACTCAGGCATCCTTATACCTGTCTTCAATAAGGGAGACGACGAAGTACGAGAACTACCACGACAAAAGCCTAATCGACGTTGTAGTGCGTAACCTTGGGACGAGGGTCGAACAAGCCAGAGTCCGAGCTGGTCGTGGATGCGCGGACCAGATGTTCACGATGAGCCACATTTTTGGATTTCGCCATAGCTACTAGCAACCGACGGCCTTGTGTTTTGTTGATTTCGTTGCTGCGTTCAATTCCGTTCGTTTTGAGCCCTGTGGCTGATAATGGAAATGGACGATATGCTGGCCAAAATCATCGGTATGGTCAAGGCGCATTGTGGCTCCACAACTTCGCGAGTTCTCGTCCATAACAATATCTCCCAACCGTTCGATATCCGATTTGGCGGTCGACAAGGTTATGTCCTGTGGCCCATTCTGCTCAGCTACGCCATTGACCGGGTTCTCGAAGAGACCCTTCATGGAGTCGACGGTGCGGAGTTTGCACCCCGACGCTGGCTGACCGATCTCGACTACGCTGATGATATTCCCTACCAACCTCAGGTTTTGGCAAACTGCACTCTGTAGTGTCAGGGGTGAATAAGGTCACTAAATTCGTGGGTTTATCCATAAGCGCCGGGAAGACCAACGCGTTTTCGAGTTGCACCCCTGATTAGGCGAAGACATTCCTCGGAATTAATGACTGTCAATCTGCGGAAGGCGACGGTTTTAAATACTTCAGGCGAGGCTGCCGCCGATTGAATAAAGTAAAGACATTGTTTCCCGAATGGATGCTGCTCGCAGGGTTTTCACAGTCCTTGGAATGTATCTGTTCACTCGACGCGACGTCTCAATCGTCAGAGAGATCTGCATGTGTCGTATTTCCGTCCGGCCAGTTCTCCATACGGTTGCGAGGGCTGTACTGTGCGTGTGGAAAGTGAGTGTAAACTGGAGGTGTTTGACCACTGTTGCCTGAGGACCATCCAAATGAAGTACACCGACCTCATCTTAAATGAGGCGGTCCTCACTCGTCGCGACATCGGAGGCTATCTCAGACTCCCCAGGAAAAACTATTGAGATGATTTAGGCATGGTCCTCGTCGTCTCACGATCCCGGTGTTACTGCTCTTGATCCTGCGCAGCTGCCCAGCCAGAGGCCTCGAATACGAGGTCAACTTCAAACAGCTCGTCAAGACATGAATGTGGTTCTTGTACCTTCCTTATTCGGCATCCGTCGTTGGGGAAGAGAATGGCTTGAGCTGTCCAGATCCGCTGTCGCAGATTGCCACGCGTCGGAACTATAGTTCGTGTCATAGTTGAGGCTAGCTAAATCAGGCATGATCACAGCTGTTCCGAATAGGAGTAAAAGCTGCACCACCCTGGTAAATACCTCGTTTGGTGGCCGAAGGCAAATGGGAGTAGTCGGTGTGTCGTCCACGCCCCTGGATTTGTGCTTGAAGCATGATTCAGTTGTTACAGACACTAAGCTTTTTGCAGTCGGTCACTACATTGAATACCTTATCAATTCGTTGATCAGGTCTTACCATTTGAGCTCTGTCGATATGTAACGAGGAAGTGAAGAACTTGATGTGTTACTGTTGCTCCCAATAATCTAGTTTGCACGCAGACCAACACTGCTTTCCAGGGTTAGTGGCGGTCAGCGCATACTCGATGAACTAAGTATCTTCGATACAGCGTTCAGCTAGGCCTATCCTACCTCGGAACGTAGATTTACCATAAGGCAGATCAAAGGGGTGCACTTAATTGTGAAGTACCTCACTCAAGGTATTTTCATTCCCTTTAGCGGCTACATTCAGAAAGTGGACGTATGAGGCTTTGATGCCGTCCTGTTTCGAATTTATATTTTCGAAGGTCAACCTTTTTACATCAATTATCGGAATTTCGGCGAACTACCTCATATAAGATGGTCTTGTGAAATTCGATTAAGTGTAGATATCATTTGGCCCATAATTAACTGTCTGCTTTTATCTTGCCTTTTGGGAGCACTGAATAGGCCTGGCATGGGACTGACATCTGTATTTAATATATTACTTGGCTCTAAGCGCTCAGTGATCACATTTTGAAAGAGGTTCAAGTGCCCTAGGGCCGTCTTTCCCAATTGAACCACATGACTCAAGAATAGGTAAAGGACGCTTTCACAAAGACTGCCTTCTTTTTCCCTCCACTATTTTTTCACATTTGCAAGTCTCAGGTTATATTCTGGCGGGTGTCAATTTTGAGCACCACCCTAGCTCAGGTTAGCTGGTCGTTGACTGCGACAGACAGCCGGTACAGACAGTAATTTCAACAAGTAGGACATTTAATAAGACAGATTGTGTGATGCTGGATGTTCATCCAGTGGGGAAACATTTGCTCCGGGACAGCCTTTTACCCACGACGCCTCGATCCACTTTGGCTGCGCTGCCATCTATGCGAATAAAATTCAGCCCCAAACGAGTCTATATGTCAGATGGAGGGTCTGTTTTGCCTGAACTTGCGTACGTTACCTCTTATACACCGAAGCCTCGTAATACGTGAGATGTTCGACCTTCTCCAACGTCTTTTAGAACTGTGGCCCTCTATGATTGCAGACTATAAGAAGTGGAGAGTACATGGGAAGCTTTTAACAATATTTTGGAGACACCAACTCGCGTCTGAAAAGAGTAGTCTGACCGTGTGAAAATAGCAGGAAATTTACCGTTACAGAGCTACGTTCTGTTTGCAACGAATTTATGTGTTTTTCCTGTGGTCACCCATTCCAATCATCACAGCCGGTATGCCTAGGGAGACTGTGGATTATTTTTTCCATTGTCGAGAGCGGGCGAGAGTAAAGGCCATCAGTAAAGTAGTAATTCATCAGTCATCTGTCGACCTCACCACTTTCTTCGATTTACTGCTAACAACCATGGTCCTAATGATCCGAGTAGCTGTAAGTAATTCTTGTATATGGTTTAGACGACTGCGTCCTGCACGACTGATTTCGTGTGTGTGATGTGTTGATCAATTGCACAGTACGCAGAGCAATGTGACACTCGTCTCATCGTTATCAACTGCGTACGCTCCCATCCCTGACATGCTGGCTATGGGAAACAATTTTCGACAGTTCCTAGAGGATTGGCATGATGCTGCTGTGGGTTATTGCTTAGTTGGTTACTGTTATATTTCCTTTGAAAATCCGCTTTCCAGTCATTGATTCTCTAACCACGCTACTATTCTGCGAATCGACTTTAAAATCTGCACAGCAAGACCACTATATGCCGGACGTTTCGGTTTCACGCTTAAAGCCACCCTCCAAGACAATAAGGACGCACTTTGACTGCGGTGTTTCCGAGGCCTGTTTGTTACGCTACCGCAAACCTATCACGTTTAATGTCGGCTGATTTTATAGGCTTGTAGGAACTAGGTCGGGACTGCCTGTGTGTAATTTTGCGTGTTGGATGCGTGCTTGGGTGAATATTGTGTGACCTTACGCTGACGAACATACTTTGCTGCACATACATTGTCGGAAATTATGCACAAAAATGTAGCACAGGCGGCGCCAACTGGGTCTGGTAGTGCAGACAGGATTATGTTGGTAAGAAGTACATATACGCAGTCGAACGTATCGATAGACTTGGTGGGTACTTCTGCTTCACCCCGGAGAGGGCGCCATTCAACCCTGTAGGCGGCCTAGCTAATTCGGGTCGTTTTCCCACTAACCAAAAGTCATGACCAATAGTGGGATTCGGCAGCTGCCTGGGATGACTGCGCCGCCCTATTAGAGGTAGTCCTGCTTACTCCCTCGTGGGAGAGGTGACTATAAAAGGTGCTGGAAAATTTGATGGCAGAAAACGCATCAGCAGGCTGACCGTGGTATGTGAACGCAAAATGAGGTCGAAAAACTACAAAAACAATCCCCGTGCCTCCCCACTGGCTGCTACCGTGACACTGCTGACTCTGGCAGCCTGGAATGCTTATTCCCCTTTAATTACTCTAATGACAAACCGTCCGCAGAGAGAGCCAGCTCTGGTCGCTCGCGGACAGATTCATTACAAAGTGAACACTGTGGTTGTCCGTGAGGCTCAGTTCTTCTGAGACAATCAGAAAAGCATAGTAGAAAAGCACCGGGAACAGTCGCAAAGGCAGATGAAGTCCATAAGTGCGGCTCTCCACAACTCATTAAAAAGCCTACTTCATTCCAGGAGGTTTGGCGACAAGGGCATATCCCCAAAGACATTAGGGGTACAATCATCATGCACATCTCTAAGCGCCGGTGAAACGACAACTACTTGGTGATTACAGAAGCATCTCCTTCCTCAGTATTAATGGGATCATCACCGCCTGTGTTCTACTTGTTCACCTGAATGTGCATATGGAGCAGGGACTTCTTTTAGAAACGCAGTGCGGATTCCAAAAACACCACGGAACCACTTATGATCTCGGTCCACCAACTCTGTCAAAGACCTTCGGCACAGTGAATCGCGATCGGCTCTGAGAAGTTATCTTGAACTTCTGATGTCCTGGACGCTTAACTCGAATAATGAGACAACTTCAGGTTGATGATTCGAGCCCCAGGGGCCGCGAAAACTTTGGGGTTGGGAATGGCTGGCTGATGATAGCCAATAAGCCAGAAGGGGCCATTCCAGTCTCCCTTTTTTGTCGGCAGTCTATTTCTGTGTATAATACTGGTCATTATGCGACTAACGGCGGGCCTCAGTATCGACCCTCAGAAGCATAACGGGGAGAGTGAATCCCGTAACCGATCGGTGAGCGCTCGCCTACCATTGTTAATATTTCCCGTTCGAAATTAAGAGGACAAAGAACCCGTAGTGCAGTGGTTAGAGCGCTGGACTTCGAACCAACAGATCGTGGATTCGGGCCTCCAGCGTTGCGAGAACCTGGGATTGGGCGTGGCTGGCCTATAACGGCTGACAAGCCAGAAGCGGTCATTCGAGTCTCACTTGTCCTCTTCAGCAATCTATCCCTGTCACACAAGTGGGCCAACTGAATTACCCAGATCTGCCAAAAACAAATAGTAATTATTCTGGTTTTTTGCCACCAAGAAACAGTTGGTATACAACAAGTTAGATGACGTATGTGCCGTAAAAATCTTCACTACCACAACTTCACATGCAAGTCACCATCGTGCTGTCCGTGGCAGTGGTGGTTCGTATGGTTCGTGATGGACGAGCTATCGATTAGCCTACCCAATGTTTACATCCTTGGACTCGTATATGTTTAAACTGCGTTCTCTCTAACAACAGTTTGGCAAGGTATTGCCGCGGATGGCGGGCCTTATTCGCAAATATCCAGGCTATTTATGCAAGGAAAATGATAATTAGTCTTCACTGCGCGTCTGCAGTGGGCATACCTGGTGAAGCAGTGCCGTTATGGGTATTTCGCTTTTGATTTCTCGTATTTTTTTGTTGTGATGTGTTCGTCTGCATTTGGAGATTGCAACTCTGATCTTTACTGCCTGTAAATCCGTGCAAGCGTTTATCAGAATCCCCGGTCAATTACAACTCATTCGAACGAAGTCTTCAGATATTTCTGTAGCCTTATTTCTGTCTTCGACAACCTTGGCAGTAGACGCTGATCTGACATTCTCATAATGTGACTGATCTGCCGAATTCGGGTGTGCTTTCGCATTGTATACTAGTTGAGCGTGTACCAGTTGATTCCTAGACATAGGTATTCATGGATCGCGTTTATCCCGTAAGGTGGAAGCGGTTGATTTCACGAACTGGGCACGGGTAGATAGTCAAAATTTCCCTACCGCTTATGCATATGTCAGCATCGCGGCCTAAAGTTTGGAGCCTACCAGAGACCCAACTAGTTTGGGATGTCTGGACTGTGCATTTTCTTATAAATTGCAGCTTTCCTCAAAGTATGCTCACGAAAGAAGTAATTTTTTTCTGCAGCTGTTGCGTGGACTTCGTAGTTAGCGCTTGTTGGTTAATAACGAGTACCTTTTCGGAATTGACAGACCATCTAAGATTTCCGCGCACAGGAACCAAGAGACCTCAGCTCCGATTTTTGCATAGTCTTGAACGCGAAGTAATCGACGCAGAGGGTATTTAACATTGTTCTTGGAGATCAAGGACTACACGTGTAGTGTAAGGTCTCAGTGCCGGAGCTCGTCCCGGTAAGCGCCTACCGGCACAGTAGTGAACCTGGATCTGAAGAGGCACGGGGCAGCCGTACAACACATTTAACTAAGTCTCTAAGGCTCAAAATTCCTCGTTTCTTCTTAAGTTCACTATCTAATTGAAAAAGAGCGTTTTAAACCAGTCTGCCGCCTTGGCAAGGTAAAATTCGCAAATCCCTTCTCTTAGTATGACTCCCTAGTTTCGACGCTAGGGGGCATGACACCTGTAGTACAGGTTGCTTGTACCACCGGGAAGCCCTATTGTTTTTCCTCTCTTCATACTGTCTTCTGCGGCCATTACAAATGAGTAAATTTATTGCGTAGTAGTCTGTTGACACTCCTCCAACAGTAAGTGCTGTTTTCCATTATGAAAAAGTTTGTTTTTGTTCACAGTGAGGCATTTGGAACATGCATTAAGCAGCAAGCTACTGTAAGGTCTCACCGGTCATATTTCCTAATAACTTTAGACCCCATTTATCCTTCTAATCAATTTTACTTGTTTATGAGTGAACCCTTGTCTTCTTTTCAGCACCCTGATGGTGGATTTGCCGGCGGTCCAAAACAGTTAGCCCATTTGGCACCGACTTATGGCGCCGTTAATTGCCTGGCCTCCCTCGTTTGCACCGATGCCCTAAATGTTGTCGACAGACAAAAACTCGGTGATTGGCTCCTATCCCTGCATCAACCGGACGGTTCCTTCGTCATGCATCACGGCGGTGAGGTTGATGTGCGTGGGGCCTATTGTGCCGTCTCCGTGGCTGCTCTGACCGGTCTGCTCAAATCAAGGCCTGAAATTTTCACAGGCACTGCTGAGTGGATTGCCCGTTGTCAGGTAACTAGCCGCTGATTACCTTCACTATGAATTACTACCAGGGTAATTGTTGCCGGAAATGCCGCTTGTGGCAGTGGAGTAATTCTTACATAGGTTGCACGATATACCTTTACCCGATGGCACAGCAGGTACCAGCTAAAAGCCCAGACAAGCATTTCGCCGACATTCTGCCGCAGCATGACACAGCCGCGAGGGGTTCGGCTCACCTGCGAGTCCTCCAGAGTCCCCTGTGTCCTTTATGATAAATACCCCAGTTCTGAAAATGCAGGCTTCTAGTTTCCTCAGAGGTTACTAGTTAGCTTAAAGTAAATCGGCCTATCTGAGACTTGTAGGCTCATGAAATTTTACTCTGAGCCTATAAGATTCAAATAGGCTGATTTACTTCTAGTTAGAGATTATTTTCTGAGGAAAGCTGCAGAACGAATTTTCCACCCACTTCTCCTCTTTTCGCTGCAGACCTACGAGGGCGGATTTGCCGGACAACCAGGTCTAGAAGCCCACGGTGGCTACTGTTTTTGCGCATTCGCGGCCCTGCATCTCCTCGGTAGGACCGACCTTGTCAATGTTCCACGTCTTCTTCGATGGTCGGCTCACAGACAACTACCGACTGAGGGCGGGTTTCAGGTTAGTGTGTACTCATCAAAAAACACCAAAATCCTTCGCTTTTAAATATAGAGGGAGGTTTTTGGCAGTTTTTTGCTCTCTTTAGATGTTGACCTAATTCGTTCACAGGGATGTGCAAAGACATTGCTACTTATTTTGTTCAAGTAGCCACCGAAGTCCCAATATTTAGTATCGAACGGGGTCTTTTCACCAGTCGCCAACCCGTCAATAATATAGTGCTTTGTGTATTCGGCAGAAATTATCCAAGTAACCTAGAGTAACATCCTTATGATTGAGTTTGCTGCGTTTGGCCAAATTTTTACAAAAGTCGCTGATCTGAATTCTATTGATTTTGGTGAAATGACCGCCCAATGCTCAGCATTTCGTACACATTAGATTGATCAGCTATACTCCCAAAAACGATACCAGTCAGAAGTCCAGATGCGTGTTCGACTGATCTGCGGCTGCTTCTACATTTTCCGCTCTTCGGTGGATCGCCCAACGTTCTCTATGTAGTTTCTAGTACAGCTATAGTTGGACAAGAACATATTGGGAGAATTTCACAAGCCGCGGGGAGTAGCTGATCTTAAGTTTGCTTGACCGGCGGTCTCCCAGGGCTATCATAGACGCCGTCGTGATATAGGCACAACCGCGGAAAATCAGTGAAACCATGTCCGGGATTCTGGATACAACGGTTGGGTCAAATCATATTTCGTAGACGTACCTGCAGTAGACAAACCCCTAACCCTAACACCTGATCCCAACCCCCAACGGGTACGGCTACGAAGTAGGATCTTGCCAACGATTGTTGGCAGAATGGCGGACGAGGTTCCCACCCACAAGCTAGATTTGTTATTCTCAGAATCAGCATGTATTTGAGTGTTTTATCTGCACCAAGGAAATACTCGTTTTGCTAACCTCTGCGGCCAATTACAGTTGGCTACAACGACCGTTGCTGACGAGCAGCATACGATTGATCGTAGCCAACCTCCGGCATGCACAGTGATCTATTTACCTTTCTGTCATAGTTTCCTTTTTCTTTACCAATTCTGCCCTTTACAGGGACGCACTAACAAACTCGTTGACAGCTGCTACTCTTTTTGGGTGGGTGCGCTCTTTCCTCTGATAGAAGACGTCCTGTGTACGCGAGGAGACCAAGCCCTAAACTTCGAAACTACCCTCTTCGATGCCTCAGCTCTGCAGGTTAGTCCGTCTCTCTGGGCTTGTCGTGGGAATCCTGATCTCTTACAATTAGACTCCCAGAGACCCATGCTATTTTCCATCCTGTTTAGTGGACTTTGCTTTTGTGGTGCTATTCAAAGCCATTTATCTACGGGGACCCTGATGCAGCTCTATACGGGTTTTGTCGGGCACCTGATTTCGGCCGCATAATGCATGCAGTAAGTGAGGTACCTCATGAAGTGTGATGTTCGCACGAAAATCGCCATCCTTTGGAAGCCGTCCATCGCACAGTCTTCCAATTATTATGACATCGAAGAAATGACCGTTCTTGAAATGAAGGAGCAGTCTGGCATAGAGCTTATATTTACCAACTGAGTCAAACACTCCTTGCATTTAAACTCCCCTCATTACCCGTTTGGACCTGGGTCAGGACTGTTGGAAGTAATAAAAGTTGTTCTCTGACCACAGGCTGGGAAGCTGATCGCTGTCTAGAAAGCAGATTGTTTTGCTTAACGTTACCGGAATCAGCCTTCGATTGAGTAGTGAGCTAGAGAATTACAGGGAAAATTATAGCATCCAATCGACGTAAATGTGTGCCGTTATAACCAAAAGCATCATTTACAACCAGCTGTCCGTCGGTGACGGCAATTCGTTGAATTTTACGGCCATCAGATTATCAGGTGTCGGAAATTCTTAAAAGTCCGTGAGATATTCTTTTTACATGTGCAGAAGGTCGGTAACCAGCGTACTCCTTAGCACATAAAAAGCCAGATTTTCTCATCCTTTTCCTTATTATGCCTGGGTGAGCATTGGCAAATGCTCCTAGCAATTAGTCTTAACAAACATATAACGTACAAGTATGACTATCATCTGGCTTGCTTATGGTCCGTTTCGTTCCGCCCTGCCCAGTTCTAGGTCCCGTTTCATTGTTACTAAACCGCTACACGGTAACTTCATTCATTGTGAAGACACTTACTATCAGCTCACGCATCAGCACTTTGGTTCCTAATTTCCGTTTTTTTTTGAAATCGGCCCCTTTGTCGCACAATTCAGCAGAGAAGAGTGGCAGCATGTCGTGGGCACTCCTTATGTACTTATTTATCCCTTGTACTTTTCTCAGTTTGATGGCCTAAACTTGTCGGTCAATCTGGACATTTTAACCCATGCCCTTCGCCAACGACGGAGACCGAATACCGAAGGTTCACGAACCACCTCCATGTCTTGACGAACTATGTCGAGCCTGGTTTTGAGTTGATCCCTCCTTCGACACCTCCAACGGGGTAACGGTGCCGGATCGAAGGCAGTAACACTGAGCTCCTGAGGCGCACGACGAAGAACATGCCCAAATCACCTCAGTCATCTTTCTTGGATGGCCTGGGTTATCCTTGCGATGTCGCAGCGAGCGCGGACTGTCTCATTTAAGATGAAGTCGGTGTACTTCACTCGAGGGATGGTCTTCGAGTGGAGGTGGTCAAATACCCCCAGTATTTGCTCGTCCTCCACGCGCACAACCCAGCATTCACAATCATAAAGAAGGACAGACGCACGGTACATGTGAATCTTAGTGGCGATGGAGAGGTCGCGTCGGATCCATAGGCATTTTTCAAGGCTTGAGAAAACCCGTCGGGCAGCATCAATTCGGGCGACGATATCATCCTTACTCTGGCCATTCGGCAGCAGCCTCGCCGCGAAGTATTTAAAACTGTCTATATCTTCAAGTTGACAGCCATCAATCCTGAGGGGTGTCTTCTGGTCAGGGATGCTGCTTGAAAACACTTTAGTCTTCCCAGCGTTTATGGATAAACCGGCCGACTTAGCTACCTCGTTCACCCATGACACCATAGACTGCAAATCACCAAAACTCGGAGCAAATAATCATTGTTATCGGCATAGTCGAGATCTGTCGGTGGACAACCTTTCGAAGTAAAGCCGTTTGCATTTGGATGTGTATCCAGAAGCAACCAAACACTGTATCTGCATTGGATATACCTCCTTCACTCTTCCTTCCCTCATTGTCATAGTGGCTTGTTCGAGTCAGGCCGACTGGGATGACACTGGAGGCAGTGGCTGACGTAATGCAAGACACCTTCTAACGCCTACCACATCTGGTCAGACCTCACAAAAACGAGGGGCCACGTAAAGACCATGTTTAAGAAGCAACCATTGCAGGTTGCTCTTCAAAGAATAACCGACTTATCCGTCAGTTGACAGTCTTCCAATCCATGACATTTATTTCGTCAGGATAGCTCTCGATAGTGAGGGATGCGCTCATTCAACGCAATGGTGGATTCCCCATTCCCAGCCTCTCGCTAATTTGCCATATGTCCATTCCAGTTGTGGTGTTCAGTGCATAGTCGCCGGTAAATAGGTCACGTATCCTCTCCATGGGCGTCTCTGTGACAGCCTGCTTAGGAAGAATCACACACAGTTTCCTTTCAGGCCGGTGTTAAGTGCCAGTTGCCTGATCGATCTTCTCGGTAGCCTTCCACCAACATTGTAGGGAATACGAGACTGAGGAGGTTCAATGCGGAGTCACCCCTTTTGTTACCGCAAAGGCCTCATATCTGCGCGAATTGTCCGTCATGTACCCTATCGTGAGGATGCCTGACCACGTTATCAGGGGAGCTTTGGTTGCCAGAAGTCTTTGACTCAACTGTTACAAGAACCTTCGGGCCGATGTTTATGACTTTAATAGTAGTGAAAATGCGATTCCCAGGTGGCATATCAAAAGAAAAGGAGGCGTTCACCGGGAGAGGTGTATTGGAAGTCTGACGTTTCGAGTAGTCGTTTCTTCTACCCATCCTCAGAGACTGAGAAGTCATGCACACAGCTTTCCTTATATGGCGCACTTTGTTTTTATGACTATCCTCACTCCGCATTTCCTGTGATTGTTAGGTTATTTGATGGGGCAATTTATGCTTTAACCTTCCAACCATTCTTTTATGTGCCGTATGTGTGTATGCGTTTTGTGGTCCCACTTTTGCACTTTTCTGTTTTCACTTCTTCAGGAATACCTCTTGCTCTGTTGCCAAAAAGTCTTCTACATGCGGCCGGGCCTCAGTGTGCCGAGTTACCTATTAGAGACCGATGGATACGACAGCAGCGGTGGCCTGATTGACAAGCCTGGCAAGAACGTCGACCCCTACCACACTTGCTACGCCCTGAGTGGTCTCAGTGTGGCGCAGCACACCCCGCGTCAGCCCCCCGCGCAAAACTCCTCGCCGGATAATGATGATGGCGATTCCACTCCCCTTCCCCATACTCACTTCAATCCCTCACCTGCCAAGGATGTCGCCGGGACTGAGTGGGGCAACGAACTGGCCGATCTGGATCCTTCCTTTAATATTGCTTTTGATGCTGTCGCCTTCACCACTACCTACTTTGCCGAGCTGGACGCCGGAAAGTCGACCATCGAGGCAGCTAAGGCGGCCGAGGCTGTGGCGGAGCCGAGTTGCCTTGTAAGCAATGTGGAAACGGTGCAGGGGCCAGAGGACGCTAACGGACTCTCTTTCAATGAGGCGCATGAGGAGTATCCACGGGACCCACCTCAGATCTGTACATCACCTTGAAAACCTCACTTTCCCCCTCTACCTCCTCTATGCTAATCACCCACACGAGGGCACACCGACCACTGTCGCCGCTCCTCATTCCATGCTCCGATGCGCAGATGGTCCTAGTTCGGACTAACAGTGCAGTTTAAGTCCTTTTTGGCAATCCGACCTTTTGACCTCATTACTCCCGGTGACTTGTCACCAATGAAGGGGCCTGCGGCGAGCACGTATAAAGACGCCTATTTAAACTCCTTTTGATGTTGGTTTTGAGACTAAAGTCGATCACATCCTCTAGTTTATTTCGTCCACTTCTATTATCGTATTTCTGTCGTACTTCCACCCCGGGGACCGCTAACACAAGTTGTTTCGTTATTTCGGTGAGCGTTTTCACTTAGGTGGTGTTAGATAGGATGACATTAGTCTGTACAGATAAAAACAGAGAGAACGAATTTCCTTTTTAGTTTGTTTTCCTAGATATCCTTAAATTTTCCATCCAAATGAGACAATACTACAACTAACAACACAAGACGGAAAGGTGTTTTGGATGCAAGCTGTCTGAGCCTGTAGGCAGGAAGCTGCTTATCAAAATAAACTAGTGCTTGACTTGAATTTCATTTGAGGGGGCAACTCATCTGACGTGCGAGCCTAGGCAATTGCACGTCGGTCACTATAAAGAACAGCACCGACAGATGTCCCGCATTCCGTTCCATTAATTCAAGGACGAGCAGTTAATCAACCAATCGATTTTCTTTCGCCTTCAAGGTCACCAGTCAGGTAGCGCCTAGGTTTACGCTTACACTCCAACGTCTCAACGCGCTCTCTGTTCATGTGGGCAGGACAATGTTTCGTAATCGCATGGCTCACGACCGGCGTCGGACACGAGCCAGCCAGCCACGCGTTCAAGGCGGAGAATGAGGAGGTCATGTTCCTAGAATTTCGCCCAGGAGCTTTTCTTAAACAAACTGCCCGAGCACCCTGACAACTGCCGAATTCCACTGCTGCTTATCGGAATCCTGTTTAAAACAAAATAAAGTTCTTTGCCCGTCATAGGCCATACAACAAATCACAGTGTCAGCTGAATCTCCTGGCAGTCAAACCAGTCCTGGGTGTGTGTGCGTTAACTTCGCTGAGGCGAATTTGAACGATATCTGACGAAGTGCTCCCGATGCTCTCAAAATCTCAATATTCTTCAAAAAGCAGTTTATTTTGGTAACTGGGGGAAGTTGCTGTTTGCGGACAGCTTTTCGCAGAAGAGAGAGGCAACCACCACCTGGAGTCTTGCGTCACTGCAGGCTTCTCCATTGTTGGACAGAAAACTTTCGCCTCAAAGACGAATTGTCGGCGGCCTTTCCATCGTTTTGCACTGCAGGTCGCCATCAACGAGGACACTGCCTCGCAGTCTCGTCTTCGCACCACCGCATGCATTGGAAGTTGCCAATATTTCGAATGTGGGCGATCTCGCCTTGTGTTCCTCTGAGCGAGTGGACAAAGATTCTGTGGGGGGGGGGGGGGATCTCGTTCTGGCCACAGTATTTGACCGTGTGACGATCCACTATGCCTCATCGTTTAAGATTGTCTGCCTCTTCTCGCACATTGAGGCCTTTGTTTATAATGTGCCTGTATTCCTATGGCCCAGAAGAATAATGGGTCGAGGATCCCGTATGATTATTACCTCATACTTTCCGCCGATTGGGATCAAGAAAATGCGGGCATTGAGACTGAAAGGAAATCCGTTCCCATGAAGCCGCACACGTGTTATGACATTTTTGTGGCTGATCCCCATTCGCTGGGGCAATATACTCCCCGTGAGGTGGGTTCCTGTTGGCAACAAGTGACACGACAGTGCTCTGCCAGTCTGATGACGGCTACTGTAGCCTGAACATCCTGTGGTGTAAAGTCTTCTCGTGGCAGCTTACTCCTGATCTCGCGGAAAGTACACTTGTATTCTCAGGTCAATAAGACTACGGCTTGGGTAGACTCCATTTCGGTTAATGCCTGGAGAGCTGTAACTGAATTGATAGGCCTTGAAAATTTTGGTTTTGTGGGGTTACCCAAAGTGCATCATATAGTACATGCGAGGCAAAATATACTGACCGGAGGATATTTGCCTGCTTGCCCAATGGAGCCAATGCCAATCATTCCAGTGGAAAACCGTTGGTTTCTGGAGTTTGTGC